GGGTAAAATGGTGAGATGTGGATAGCGAGATGGCCTCGGAGTCAGAGATGATGAAGAGAAGAATCAGGAGAAACGATGCTCCGCCTCGTACCCAGCGAATATGCAAATCTTCCCGCGAGAGGCACCAAGTCAGCGGAAGGTCCCGTGCACTAGTGGAAAAGAAAGAGTCAGAGAGGGGTGAGTTTTCCTTCTGGGGTGGGGACTTCCTGAGTCATAGAAGCCTCAACGAAGGGGTGGCAGGTGCTGTTTTCTTCATTCCAAGATATCGGTCTCCGCCTTTCAGTCAGACTCCTACCGGGGCATGACTTACCCGCTATAAATCTTTGCCTGGGGTTGGAATACGAGGGAGATTTATTTGCGAGGTGCGGAGCAACGTGTTCGCTAGACCCGGTTGGAATTTGAGGTGATGGTTCATTCTGTGGCTGTTTAAGGGTTGGTTCACGTTGGTCGATCCACAACTTTAACTCTCATCTCCACCGGGCGTTATTTGTACTGAAATGCAACAAGGGTTAGGACAGCTGCCGTGGATCATGATGATCGTCTTCATCGGTTAGCATCGATCTGGGACTATTATTTGGAGGACTATTTACGTGGGCTCGACTCCCAGCGGCGCCGTGACCCGTCCGCCACAACCTTTAGCCTGGGGTTGGAATGCGAGGGAGAGTTTACTTGCGAGGATCCGTGTTTGATAGACCTCAATATGCTTTCCTTCTCGCCGTTCGAGGCTTCGTTGATGCATAACCTTGCCTCAGTTGGGCACTTCGCTCATAATCATACCTGAAAAAAATGAAACAAAGCAAGGGAGTCGCTGTGGATCACGGTGGATCGTCCTCGCCCTATAAAATTCTTTCTCAGCTTGCAGAGGAAGAGCGGGTTCTTCTGTCAGTCAGTTCACAGCTCGGTCGATATCTCTGTTAACTATTGACATCGTGCTTTATGTGTTCGGCGCCTATCCACCAAGAGCTCGGTGGCTAGACACCCAGCATCATATTTTGATGCCATCTTTTATCTTATCTCTCAGTGCTCACTGGTTCTTCCCTACGACGAACTGGGTGAGAGGTAAGAACTCGTCTCTATCTATTCATACACCAGTACTCATTTACTTATAGTCTGTACTGACTGTCGTTTTACAGATCTCCGCTCTTCACAATCTCATTGAGTGAACAGCTTCCTGCTTCCATGTAATGAGCCTCGCGTGAATATGCATCTGATCTTAAGTTTCACCCTTGTTGGATCGCTTTGCTTCTTTTCATCCAGAATAGGGTATAGCCAAGCTTCGTTTCTAGTGGAAAGCCGCCGGGATCACGGTGGATCGTCCTCTACAACTGTAACGTCCAACACAATGTCTCGTGTCAACACTCCCTCAGAGGGTTTGATCACCCTGTTGCGCAACGAAAGTTTCAGAACTCGTTTCATCGAGCGTTGGACCGGTCCGGCTAGGCGCAGCAACATTCGCCATCTCGGCCTCTCCATATCAATTTACCTCCAGTACGGCTCAGTTTCTACTCGAGCTATGAAGATCTTACAGGCCCTCCATTTCCAAGGAAGATTCTGGCTATCTAGTAGATCTGATCGAACTTTGGAAAGATCACTGGTCAATTTCCTCTCTTACCTACCGTCTGACGCTGAGCGGCACTCAAACTTCCCCGACATTCAAGTTCGATTCCCTCTGCTTGGCGCTCTTAGCACGCCACCCTGACCTTGTCCTCGCTCCGAAATCACAAATAATTAGACCTGGAGAACTTTCGACGGTCCTCCTGTTTCTCAGCTCAAAATATAATCACGGGGTTCTTCAGCCCTTTCGAGGAGTTCCCGAACTCCTTGAAGTACCATTCCCTTATGGAGACTCACCTGTGAGTTTTTTAAACGATTCCAAGAGAGTGGGGGGCTTTTATTCTGGCCCCCAGGATATTGCGGAAGAGTTGGTCCTCCTTTGGATCCACCACATCAAGGAGGAACTTCTTGCCGGTGAAGTGCAGCTGATTCAGTAGGCATCGCACTCTAAGAAGCTATTTTGCTTAAAAATTGGCGCACGCCGTGGCTGGACCTCCTATATCAATGTCCTGCCAGTCCAAGGATCCTCGGCGAGCTCGAGACCCTCGATCTAGCCCACCTTTGTGATCCGATGCACATCAATGAGGACGAGCATTTCGAGATTCATTCCTGCATCTTCCATCAGGACATAGACTCGTTACCAGTCTGCCATATGGAATGCAATAAATGTGGCGAGCACTATTGCCGTAGGCAAACTGGTACTTCTCGGGATTGGCAATTGAGCGGGGCGGGAGTTTGAAATTTTTGAGTGGCGCCGATCACGGCCATCAATTCTTCGTCGTCATCAAATCATTTCGGTTGTGAATCTAGTTGTCGCTTCGACCCATGCACGAGCCTCCAGCAGAAATCTGAGGAGACAGATGTCTTGGAATTTGCGCTTCAAGCCTTCCGTAGGTTTGGCATTTTGAAACCATCCAGATCCAAGGCTAGAATAACAGCCATAAAAAAATTCAAACTTCCCCCCCCGCTCAATCACCAATCCCGAGAAGTACCAGTCTGCCTACGGCAATAGTGCTTGCCACATTTATTGCATTCCATATGGCAGACTGGTAAAGAGTCTAATCAGGACAATCCTGTCCCAAGCGTGCTACCCTGGCTGTCGGTGAAGTTTCTTCATCGATGACTGACTGGATGCGGGTGACTTATTTTCTCCTTGTGATGGCCCACAGAGGTATCCCGACCCTCCGCTTCACAAACCATTGCATTATGGAAGAATCAAATGGCCACGATACGTGAATGTTAGAGCACACCGGAGGTCGAGTCAAATTGGGGAAGGGGATACAGTGGGATAGGTGAACGACGTGTGGTCAATGCCGTCTTTGCCAATTACTATGAGGAGCCAAAAGTGTATGCTAAAAATATTTTCTCCTGACGACTTTCGTGGATTCTTCTTCAATCGGGCTGCGCGCGATCTCATACTTGGATCGCGATTCGAAGAAAGTCACCGTGGAGTCCTAAAATTTGCTACAGGAGTGATTTTCTGGGTAGATACAGAGTTTCACGGCATGAATTCGTTCACATTGCATGAGGGCCCAGATTCTCACTCAAGCAGAAAGACGCTCACGTCCTCGTGACTTTTACGTACATGCGCCCACACCAACAAACGAATCCTTCAAGACTCCAATCGATCCATCATGTCCAGCCCACCTCCAGAGAACCTTCATATATTCTTCCCCACATTTCCGTTCGACGCTCCCGACACCGATCTCATCCTTCGATCCTCTGATGGTGTCGACTTTCATCTCGCCAGAGCCGTCTTGTCCCTGGTGTCGCCCGTTTTCCGGGACATGTTTTCGCTGCCACAGCCGGAATCAGCTCCTGCGGTACCCATTATTACAGTGACCGAGGACGCTGGTAAGCTGGACAGGGCCCTCCGGTTCTTCTATCCGGGCGCACAGCCGACCATTACGACGCTGGATGAGCTGCGGGATGTCATTGAAATCCTAGTCTCCAAATACGACATCCAGTGGATCGTTCCGACCGTGAAACAGCATCTCGAGCGATACATCGGCCGGAAGCCATTTTCTGTGTACACCATTGCGTCTATCCACGACTGGAGGGATCTGGTGCTCGCGGCCGCGAAGGAGTTGCTAAAATTTCCGCTCCCAGTGTTTACTACAGACGTCCCACAAGAAATCCGACACATCACAGGCGTCGCCTATCATAACCTGCTCAGCTACCATTTGCGATGTGGTGCCGTTGCGAAAGCGACAACAGCGGACCTTTCCTGGATCGAGTTTCCCACCGTCTTAGTTTGGTTCACCTGCAACACTTGCAATTACCACTGCGCCCCCACTCTGTCCGACGGCATTCCGCATGCTGCTCGGCGGTGGTTCATGGAATACTTCACCGAGATGGGCGCCGTCCTCATGGAAACGCCGGGTATAAACCTTCGCGAGCACCCCCGCTTTTACAAGGCCCTCAGAGAAGCCGCGAGATGCGGTGTCTGTGCGGAGGGGATGGCGCAACTGGACCAGTTCGTTTCAGGCACTTGGGCGAACAAAATCGAGCTCGAAATTGACCAGGTTCGTGGAAAAGAATTGTATAGACTATTGCTGAGCCTATTCGGAATAGGTGGAATTGCACTTTTGAGAGATTCGTAGACGGGCTCGCAACTACTTTGGCACTCGGCTAGTTCCAGTGGCGTTCATGTGTATTTATTCCCGTAGTTCTGACCATGCCATTTCATTTTCAAATCGTGGATTCCCCCGGGCATTTCTCATCCGCGAGATCCTGGTCGTCCATCCCCAGCCACATTCCATCGTCTGCAAATGCCTTCAGTACGCTTCGGCCCCAGATCGTTCTCGTGCAATTTCTCTCGCCCTTGACGAGTTATTATCCCGTCGGTTAATCTTCCACCGGTCCTTCTGATTTCTACGGTATCTTCCTCCGCCCGGCATATTTCATGTCCTGTCTTTCTGAGCTCTCTGTGTTCTTCCTGACTATCTATCTCCCTTATTCGTGTATTCCGCATATTTTTATGCCCCTCCTCCTGTCTGGACTCTGATTTGATTTGGTGTCGGTCCGCACCTGCGCTTTCGTCTGCACGCGGACCCACTCTACAATAAAAGCACGGATATTTCAGTGGCTCAAGCCCGCCCGTTGAGGCACAATAAGTACTGATAAGCTTTTGTAAAGGGATTCCGAAGGCCGCCGCAGATTTGGGTGAATATTTTAACGTTTCGGGAATGCATGCGGTCTCAGAGGAAAATGTAGTCGACTCCGGTCTTGACAGGGCCGGCCTTTTCTTTTTCCCCCTCGCTGCAGAGGGAAGCTGGTCGTGGATCAGCAAAACACATGCTTGCTTCCAGGTTGAACGTTTTTCGCCGCTCTCGAATCTCATTTGATTATTGAACTCGGTTTGTGCACACCCGACCCTCAGTTGCTTGGACTCTAGACACTGTAGAGGATATGGATATGATCCAGGTCCACTTTTTAGAGAGGAAGCCGCCGTGGATCACGGTGGATCGTCCTCGTCCTATAAAGTGCTCTCTCAGCTTGCAGAGGAAGAGCGGGTTCGACTCCCACCGGTGGCATCAGACCCCAGACGTTTGATTCTTTTCCCGCCTGCTTTTGCTCCATGGCCGAAATACACAGCTCAAGGTCGGCATTTCACTGTCCCAATTCGAGTTCCTCCCATATCCATCATTGGCTTCACAGAACATGCATCCGATCTCACCTTATTTGGGTTTCGTTCATTCAAGCAGAGAGTGTCATGGAGGTCTGCTTTGGAGGGGCAGCCGCCGTGGATCGTCCTCACTCTGCCCTCTGTTCCAGAGGAAGATTGGGTTCGACTCCCACCGACGGCATGCTTTCGAGGTCTTCCTCGACTTTTTCATCTCCACGGCCCTCTGCTCGTACCTTCGCGGCTCAAGGTCGGCATCGCGCCCTGCGACTACACTGTAGCTTCACCACTGTTGGTCCCTCACATATAATTAATCTTCCATTCCGATCTACTCTTAGCTCCTTCCGTTCTTCGAGAACAGGGTATGATCAAGGTCCATTTTGTAGAAGACAGCTGCCGGAGATCACAATGATCTTCCTCTTCCTATTAATATGTACTGGGCTCTCAGGTTGCAGAGGAAGAAGTGGGCTCGCTTCCACCGACGGCATGAGCTGTCCGCTACCAGTTTTTACCTGATGCAAGGTTAATTGGAATGGGAGGGAGGGGGAGGTTTTATTTGCGAGGGTGCAGTGCGTTAAAACTCGGTTGGAATTGACTTGTTGACGTTTCCCTCCTGGCCGTTCGAGGGGTATGATGCATAATGTCGGGTTATTTGGGTGTTTCACTGTTGGAATGTGGCCCGTCACGTGTCCCCAGGTTCAAGTTCCGCATTGTCAACAGCTTTCGTCTCCATCGTCTACAGCTACAGCTTTGATTTCCCATTGTCTACAGCCTTTCTTAGTTATTCTACCGTCCATTTTCGGACTCTTTACAGCTTGGTTTTACTTTAAATACTTCTGTGTTGAGTCGCTTGAATATACGCTTGCTCCCAGCGCATCTGTGTGACTGCCACCTTCTAACATTCACTGTACTTTCCCTCCAGGCCATTAGTTGTACTGAGGTGTAACGTGTAACGGCGAGAAGAAGCCGCAGTGGATCGCGGGCATCATCCTCACTCTATAGTTGGTGGTGCTCTGTTGCCAGAGGACAGGCGGGTTCGACTCCTACCTGGCATTTCCCTGTGACTGTGCGCTCTTTTTATTTCTTCCTATTTTGTTCATTTCTTTGTGGTGTGCGGGTCCTCTGGGTCGCAGAGGAATTTTGGAGGGAGGGACAGTCCGTGATCCATAACCTGGAGAACTTATCGTTTCGGAGGTTCGATACCATATCACGAGTTGACTTCTGATTTGAATTTGAGAGGCACACATATAGCGTAATGTACCAGGGATAAGGAAGCCGCTGTAGATTAGTGGAAGATCATCCTCTTGCCCTATTAATTAGTTGGACCGCGCTGAAGTTCAATAAGCAGCTCAATGACGCAGCCTCCTCTTCTGCCTTTGTGAGAGATACCTACCCTCCCCATAAGAGGTATATAGATACCAAGATGCTCGGGCTAAGGAGGCCACCGTGGTTTAATGGGAGATCGTCCTCGCTATATGATAATGATCCCTTCAGAGTTCGAGGAGGAAAAAGTGGGATCGATTCCCACCAGTGGCATATTATTGCAGATGTTGCTTTTTCCCTTCTTGCACCTCCGCTCTCCCTCAGGCCCTTGGCAGATCAGTCGTTAAGCTTCACAAGGACACATGAATTAAACTTTCAATTAATGCGCCGCGCTCGGCCGCGGCACCGTGCCGAGGATGTCGTGACGCGCGTGACGCGTCTCGCTGATTTGATTTGCATTCTGCTGCTCGCCGTCACCGCCATGGACGACTCCAAGCCTCCTCGTTGTCGTCGGCCACGTCGCCGTCGCCCGCCATCCTCTCATCCCCTCTTCCACGACCCCGGGCTTCCCCACCGCCGCCCTCGCCTCCGCCCTCACCGGCTTCGAAGCACTCTCTACCACTGACGACGTGTTACCTCCGTTCCTCGGCCGCTTTCCCACCGGCGCACTCACAACACCGCTTCCCTCATGCGCTCCTCGCTGCACGCCCCGCGCATCCCCAATCCTGCCCGAGCCCGCGCCCGCCCGCGCCTCATAGTACCATGTCCCGCTGTCCCACACGCTAGCTCCGCCGGCGGAGTGGTGCTTGGAACTCTCGTGGTGTTTGTAACACGGCAGGTGCGTGCCCTTTCTCCCCTGGTTCTCATTCCTCGCTAGCTCTCCAGCCTCGCGCATCCTGCCGTCCTCACGTCTGCCTCGTTCTTGGCGCAGCATCGAAATCGTGCTCGACGCGGCAACGGTGGGCATTTCAGACGCACCCGACTCGGGAACGGAGAGCTACGTCGCCGATGCCCGAGGTGCGCCACCCTTCATTTCCTTATTAGCCCAAGCTACCGCACGCTGTGTTACATCCCCGCCACGCCCCCGCCGTCCTTTCTCTACACCCCCCGTGCTCCCCCCTCCCGCGCGCATCAGCTTCGTCAGAGCGAACGGTACCCGCGTCCGACTCAGTATCGCGCGATGTAACGACGGCGGGGGATCGCACGCGTGGACGCACCCCCATGCACATGGCGTTTGTCGAGCGGTCTGCACTCGGACAGGCCGAGACCCGCGAACTACTCAACATCGTTCAGGTAAAGCCGTCTTCGTTTTTCATCCTTTTTCTCTTGGTCTGAACGGGGATACACTTAGCCATATCTTCCCCAAATATATGTCGAGACCGATAGTGACGCTACAAGCTGCTACCTGTTCTTCCAGCGGCTAGGAAAGCTTCTCGTCGACGCCGCGAACGCCGGCGGTGTCTCGCGCATCGTCTGGTCCGGCCTCCCCTCCACCAGCGAGCACAGTGCGGGGAAATACAAGATATTTGCTAAATGTTAATCTTGGTCACCTCCTCATTCCTGCCACCAAAGCATGTCTACTACTTCAACGTCAAGGCCGCCGTGACCGCGTATATCCACCAGCGTGCCGTTCGTCGACGTGCAGACAGGGTTCTACGGAACGAACCTCCTCTCGAACCCGATCATGCTCATGAAGCAGGACGATGGGTCGGTTGCCATCCCCTGGCCCGCGAAGTCCACGACCATGGTTCCCATCCTCGATACCGCGCACAACTACGAGCTGTTCGTGCGTTATGCGCTCGCGCTGCCCGTCTTCCCCGATGGCTCTGTGGTTGCGCACGGCGAAATTATTAGCATCGAGAATATGGCGCTCCAGCTTTCTCAGGGTACGGATTTTATCTGTATTTTCTTGACATTACGTTGAATTCGCCGAATATCAGCGACCGGGAAGACCATCGTGTTCAAGCAGATCTCCGTGGAGCAGTTTACAGCAATTCCTGAAAATAATGGCAAACATCAGAATTTTTTTTTTGTGTTCCCAAAAAGGAAACACGAGCCGGCGGTAGCTTCCCTTCTACGTTTCTCACTGTATCGACTACGAGCAGCATCAGGCTACCACTTCGAACGGCAACGGCCATTCATCTGTCTTCCGGTTTGCTTCTGACCTCCAACACGGGACCCATGGCGCAATCCCTTCTCCTGCAGCCTCGTCTACAAGGCCTGACTCCCCGCCTCGCGCTTACACCTCATCCACTCCATCCAGACTGCCGATAGCAAGACAATCCACTAGAATGCATTTCTCAAGTCCTCGCACCTATTTGCGTGAGGCTCAGACCTTCGAAAACCGCTGGCAGATGCAGGAGATGCCGTACGAGCAGGCAATGGTACAGCACAGACGAATATGATGTACGAGCTCCTGCGCCGGCTTGCGCGGCTCACTGTTTCCATGAGCTCTCACTGGGCGATGCTTCTGGGCAGGATTTGGGACCCCGGCATCGAGGGCATCGCCTGTCAGGAACATGGGGGAGAAGGTGCGGAATCACTAGTGCGTAGCCGATTCCCTCATTCATTCGCAGACTAGGATTATGCGCTGAACGGAGCGCCGCGGACAGTGGTCCTTGACAACTCGTCCAACCGATGTCGTGCCCGACGCACATCTTCTGCATACACCTCGCACCGACGCGCACCTCCGGTCGATGCTCATGTCCGCCGCCACTGCCTGACCACCGCGAGCAAGCGGAGCATCCGGGCCTAGTCTGCGCTATCCCCGAACGAATCCTGGTGCGCTCTCTACATGCTGCTCACACCGCCGGAGTTACTGGACTCGGACATGCTCGTTTCACCGATGCGGCCTGGGTGGCAGTGGGGAGGATATGTTGTTCCCTTCCCCAGTGACGCTAAATCTCGGCTCCCGGGACTTGCCAGGCAGACCCGGCGCCGCGAGGGCAGCACTTGGGTACTAGGGGATCTAATTAGCGCGCGCGTGCGCAAATTGGACTTGTATTATGAGCACCAATGATTATGCCTTGTTCTAATACTACCCCGGAGGTATGGAATGAGCGGAGAAGCACTCCTCGACCACAGGGACTGGCTGCAGAGGGAGCAAGAGAGCGATCGGCTCGTGTTTCCTTTTTGGGACTGCAGAAAAAAAAAACTGATGTTTGCCATTATTTTCAGGAATTGCTGTAAAGCGAACGTCCAGACGCTTGATGTGCCGCCCCGCATTATCCTCGATATGGCGGATTGGTTCCAATGGTACGGCGAGTTTGGACGCGAGTGCCTCAATCATCGATTGAACTCTCAAACAATATTGCAGGGAAAGCCATGACGAACCACGGAGGCTTGGCAAGATCTTCGCGTACGTGGGTCGAGTTCGCGAAGGCTCCGGACTGGAGCAAGGTGTTAGCGTACCCCGAAATTCTTGGTTCTGGGTAGAAGTCGTTCAGCTCGTTCAAAACTCAACCCCAACACAATGCTTGTTCAAATGGAAACTCTCGAGCCACCAGGCACTGCAGAAATGGTTAGTCCATTTTCGTCGTGTACGTACATCCGATGCGATTCTGTTTATTTGTTGTGCTGATCGCAATAAAATCGAATTCACTTCCGTGGTATCGCTTCAAGCTAGTTTGCCGTCTGCGAGCCCATGAT